TCTGTAGAACGTGAAGAACCAGTGGCATCTAAATCTGCAGAACGTCAAGAACCAGTGGCATCTACATCTGTAGAACGTGAATAACCAGTGGCATCTACATCTGTAGAACGTGAAGAACCAGTGGCATCTACATCTGTAGAACGTGAAGAACCAGTGGCATCTACATCTGTAGAACGTGAAGAACCAGTGGCATCTACATCTGCAGAACGTTAAGAGCCAGTGGCATCTACATCTGTAGAACGTGAATAACCAGTGGCATCTACATCTGTAGAACGTGAAGAACCAGTGGCATCTACATCTGTAGAACGTGAAGAACCAGTGACATCTACATCTGCAGAACGTCAAGAACCAGTGGCATCTACATCTGTAGAACATGAATAACCAGTGGCATCTACATCTGCAGAACGTGAAGAACCAGTGGCATCTACATCTGTAGAACGTGAATAACCAGTGGCATCTACATCTGTAGAACGTGAAGAACCAGTGGCATCTACATCTGTAGAACGTGAAGAACCAGTGGCATCTACATCTGCAGAATGTCAAGAACCAGTGGCATCTACATCTGTAGAACATGAATAACCAGTGGCATCTACACCTGCAGAACGTCAAGAACCAGTGGCATCTACATCTGCAGAACGTGAAGAACCAGTGGCATATACATCTGCAGAACGTGAAGAACCAGTGGCATCTACATCTGCAGAACGTGAAGAACCAGTGGCATCTACATCTGTAGAACGTGAAGAACCAGTGGCATCTACACCTGTAGAACGTGAATAACCAGTGGCATCTACATCTGTAGAACGTGAAGAACCAGTGGCATCTACATCTGTAGAACGTGAAGAACCAGTGGCATCTACATCTGCAGAACGTCAAGAACCAGTGGCATCTACATCTGCAGAACGTCAAGAACCAGTGGCATCTACATCTGTAGAACGTGAATAACCAGTGGCATCTACATCTGCAGAACGTGAAGAACCAGTGGCATCTACATCTGTAGAACGTGAAGAACCAGTGGCATCTACATCTGCAGAACGTGAAGAACCAGTGGCATCTGCGCCTACAGGAGATTATGCAGCTTGTAAATCCATTCCCTCATTGTTTAGTGTGCACGCTATACAGCGTGTTTGGAATTGACAGGGAGTAAAGTTGGACACACGAAGAAATCGACTTATGAAGGCAGAACTTCTGTAACCTAACTCGTTCGTAAGTAGAGGATTCCTTACTTCCGGGGTGTGGGGGTCGTCCCTCGCCCCCATTATTCGCTCCGCCAATGAGAGGGCGACGTACGGCTCCGAGCCAAATCACCAGCAACTCCAACCCCGCCCCGCCGGCGCGATTCGATTTTACTGTGTAACAAATATAATTTTTGTTCCCGGGTAGTCAGTGTTATCTTTCAAATTTCTCATGCCTCCAAAGTACAGAAAGTGGCTATTGTTCCCCACAAACTTTGCTTTTGTGACCAGGACAGTGTTATTTTGAAATGTACCTGTTTTCAATGAGAAAACGTGCTGTGCATTTGTGTCATTCCTTCACGTAAAGTGCTGGTCACAGAAGTAAAGTTTGTGGGGAACAAAAGCCACTAACGTGACTTTAACGAAATAACCCAACGAGTATAGTATAGCCACTTTCTGTACTTTGGAGGCATGAGCAATTTGGAAAATAAAACTTACTACCCAGGAACAAAAAATCGTGCTACATAGGGTTATTTTGTAACGACATTGGCGATCGCGATGACGGTTTTGAAAAAAACGTTTTGCCGGGTGAGAGCTCACGAGGCCCACGATAGAGAGAGAGGGGGGGGGAGTCTCGTGCTCCGCCCAAAAGAGACCTTCGCCAACGATATTTAGACCGAGGGCATCGCAAAGTTCCACGGAGGTTCCCGGGGAGACCTTCGGGGCTATCCATAAATGATGTCAAGCACCTGGGGGGGGGGGGGGGGGTCAGACATTTGTGACGATGTGTGACGTGGGGGGGGGGTTGAGAAATGTGACGTCACATCAAAATGCGCAACTTTGAATAAGTATAGACAAACACGTTTCTACTTAATTAAGTAGACTTTTTAATGTTTTCTCCGACATCAGAGTGCAGCGCCACATTAAATACGCACTACGATGACAATAGCTTAAAGCGATTTGAAGCACGTTTTATTTTTGGGGGGCAGAGCTTTGTGACGTCATATTTGAGGGGGCGGGGTCTGACTTTTCGTGTCGGCGTGTGACGAAGGGGGGGGGGGGGGTCAAAAAATCGTCCAAAATCGCGTGACGTCATTTATGGACGGCCCCTTTAGCCAGGTGAGAGCTCACGAGGCCCACGATAGAGAGAGAGAGGGGGGGGGGTGATCTCGTGCTCCGCCCAAAAGAGACCTTCGCCACCGATATTTAGACCGAGGGCATCGCAAAGTTCCACGGAGGTTCCCGGGGGAGGCCACCTGCGATCCCGGGCTGCGATCGATAGAAGCTCCCCGCGACCCAGTCTCCCACCGCCGCCTTGTAGGCAGGGGGCACAGTCTGAGGCACTCGCCAGTGCAGGACACAATTGCGGATAGACAACGCAGCAGAACCCCCTCTTAACCGCGATGTAATTGGTTCCACGAAACGTAACTCTGGTCCTTAAGCGAGTGGAGGAAATGCACGCTGTAAGGGCCTAATTCGTTCCGATAGCGTCGAAAGTTACACCTCTTTAACCCAAGAAAACGTACTCTATAATGTTGCCCGTACCTTTATGTATTCGTATCCATTGTTTAAATATTACAAACACGTAACAAGAGAGCGCCATCTCCTGTATTATTGTGGGGGTTACATTACCTATCATACAGTGCACGGTTTATCGACAGTAGGGGTTATATCCGGGGTAAGGGTGAATGGGCGGATCTACCAGGAAAGCCTCTGGAACGTTCCCGAAGGCTCCAGAAGGGGCGTGGCCAGAGGCGGGGCGTGGCCAGAGGCGGGGCTTGGCCTCCGGGGAGCGAATATAAGCCGGGGGGCACGGCAACGTTAGAGAGTCGGTGTCTGAAGATCAAGAGGAGGGCGTGTCCTCACCGAGGGGGGGGGGTGTGTCTAACACGCCCCCCCTCGGTGAGGACACGCCCTCCTAAGCGAGTCCACGCCCCCCCCCCCTCCGTGAGGCCACGCCCCCCTCGGTGTGCGAATCTGCCTCTTGACACGAGCCAGTGGCCTCCGCAGCCATTGACCTCGCCGCACGTCGCCGGCTACGCTGCCGCCCCGCCGTCTTCACCGGCCACGTGGCGGCACGACCTCTGGCCTCCGGCCGCTTTCCCCGGCGCTCCGCCAGCCGGCGACGCGGCGGTGAGCCGGGGTGAGCGCCACGTGGCGCGGGGGCAGCGCAGCCGCGGCAGCGGGCAGACGTCCGCAGAGAGAGAGAGGGAGAGTGGCCGTACCGAAGATGTATTCACAAACAACTTGAAGTCTTTTATCGTGTCGGAGCCACCCGTTACACATCGATCACACCGCATTGATCACGCCGACTCCATCACACCGCATTGATCACGCCGCATTGATCACGCCGACTCCATCACACCGCATTGATCACGCCGAATTGATCACGCCGACTCCATCACACCGCATTGATCACACCGCATTGATCACACCAACTCGATCGCACCAACTCGATCATACCGCATTGATCACACCGACTCGATTGCACCGCATTGAAGGCATTGCGTCGAACCGATCAGCGATCGTGGCATGGGTCATCACCTCGGCGCTCTGTCCAAGTAACTGTCCAAGAGAATATTGCAGAGGCTCCCTTACTAGTGTCGTGGGTTCAGCTGAGGTGCAGACGGAGACTTGGAGGCAACGCATTAATTCAACACCAACACACACGGGGTGACTTTCCCCTTAACAGAATAACAACCACGCTAGTCACCACGTGACTGGTGTAGTGGCTAACCACGCTAGCCACAACGTGACTGCTGTAGTGGCTAACCACGCTAGTCACCACGTGACTGGTGTAGTGGCTAACCACGCTAGTTACCACGTGACTGGTGTAGTGGCTAACCACGCTAGCTACCACGTGACTGGTGTAGTGGCTAACCACGCTAGTCACCACGTGACTGGTGTAGTGGCTAACCACGCTAGCTACCACGTGACTGGTGTAGTGGCTAACCACGCTAGTCACCACGTGACTGGTGTAGTGGCTTACCACGCTAGTTACCACGTGACTGGTGTAGTGGCTAACCACGCTAGCTACCACGTGACAGGTGTAGTGGCTAACCACGCTAGCTACCACGTGACTGGTGTAGTGGCTAACCACGCTAGCTACCACGTGACTGGTGTAGTGGCAAACCACGCTAGCTACCACGTGACTGGTGTAGTGGCTAACCATGCTAGTCACCACGTGACTGGTGTAGTGGCTAACCACGCTAGTTACCACGTGACTGGTGTAGTGGCTAACCACGCTACTGCCAAGGGGTCCACTTTCTGCCCCCCCCCCCCTACTACCGAGGCCTACTGTTTACTATAATGGCCTCGTGCCACGTGTCACAGACCTGTCGCCTACTTTAGCAGTCTTTCTTCTCGCTGTGGTTGTCCCACCTGATGACGATCGATCGAAGCGTCGTGATCTGTTGAATGGTCTACCTTCGCTAGACCTCTAACGGGGGATGCAGATCCTCGCCGACCTGCTCGCACTGCTTTAAAAAACGCGAATCTGTCACTCTCAATGCAATATTTTTTCGTATTTTTAAGAGTTCATTTTGACCACGGGCCATGGTCAAATTCACTGCAGGATGGACACGCCTCTGCAAGCCACCAACCACCACCTCTCATGTGTCTGAAATGTATTAATACATCTAGCACCTGCACATGAACCAAGTTGTTCCATTACTCGGTGATTTCTTGCTCAAGTAAGGCAGAGGCAGTGCTCATTTTTGTTGCCGTGTGGAATATTTGCTCGGTGGAATTCCGGGATGCATTCTGTTGCGCGTCGTCGCTTTGAGGTGTTCTGTGTTCAAATGTCGTCTTGTTGCGCTTGCACCCGACTCACAGGGCTCTGCCAAAGAATGTAAATAAAGCATTTAAAGCTGCTAAAGTCTTGCCCAACACCTACCCCCGTCTTGTACCGCATCGCCTCGTCTTGTCCTGCATCTCCTCTCCGTCTTGTCCCGCATCGCCTCGTCTTGTATCCCACCACCTCTTCGTCTTGTCCCGCATCTCCTCGTCTTGTCGTCCCGCAACTCGTCTTGCCCTGCATCTCCTCTCCGCCTTGTCTCCCATCTCGTCTTGTCCCGCATCTCCTCGTCTTGTCTCCCACCACCTCTTCGTCTTGTCCCGCATCTCCTCCTCGTCGTCGAAGCCCCTCCCCCTCTCTTCTCGTCACGTGCCCCAGCGACAGCAGCAGCGGCGGCTCGCTCTCTCCACTGCTGGATGAGGTGGCTATGAGATGTTGACTACCTCGCCTGGTGTACAGGAGGTCGTGGGTTCCACCACCGTCATCATCACGGTGGCTAGGAGATGTTGACTACCTCGCCTGGTGTACAGGAGGTCGTGGGTTCCACCACCACCATCATCACGGTGGCTAGGAGATGTTGACTACCTCGCCCGGTGTACAGGAGGTCGTGGGTTCCACCATCATCACGGTGGCTAGATGTTGACTACCTCGCCTGGTGTACAGGAGGTCGTGGGTTCCACCACCATCATCACGGTAGCTAGGAGATGTTGACTACCTCGCCTGGTGTACAGGAGGTCGTGGGTTCCACCACCACCATCATCACGGTGGCTATGAGATGTTGACTACCTCGCCTGGTGTACAGGAGGTCGTGGGTTCCACCATCACCACGGTGGTTGAGATGTTGACTACATCGCTTGGTGTACAGGAGGTCGTGGGTTCCACCACCACCATCATCACGGTGGCTATGAGATGTTGACTACCTCGCCTGGTGTACAGGAGGTCGTGGGTTCCACCACCACCATCATCACGGTGGCTAGATGTTGACTACCTCGCCTGGTGTACAGGAGGTCGTGGGTTCCACCACCACCATCATCACGGTGGTTAGATGTTGACTACCTCGCCTGGTGTACAGGAGGTCGTGGGTTCCACCACCACCATCATCACGGTGGCTAGGAGATGTTGACTACCTCGCCTGGTGTACAGGAGGTCGTGGGTTCCACCACCATCATCACGGTGGCTAGGAGATGTTGACTACCTCGCCTGGTGTACAGGAGGTCGTGGGTTCCACCACCACCATCATCACGGTGGCTAGGAGATGTTGACTACCTCGCCTGGTGTACAGGAGGTCGTGGGTTCCACCACCACCATGGTGGTTGAGATGTTGACTACCTCGCCTGGTGTACAGGAGGTCGTGGGTTCCACCACCATCATCACGGTGGCTAGGAGATGTTGACTACCTCGCCTGGTGTACAGGAGGTCGTGGGTTCCATCACCATCATCACGGTGGCTAGGAGATGTTAACTACCTCGCCTGGTGTATAGGAGGTCGTGGGTTCCACCACTGTCATCATCACGGTGACTAGGAGATGTTGACTACCTCGCCTGGTGTACAGGAGGTCGTGGGTTTCACCACCATCATCACGGTGGCTAGGAGATGTTGACTACCTCGCCTGGTGTACAGGAGGTCGTGGGTTCCACCACCATCATCATCACGGTAACTAGGAGATGTTGACTACCTCGCCTGGTGTACAGGAGGTCGTGGGTTCGATCCTGACCCTGATACCCGCTGTATATTTGGAGTCTGCGTGTCTCTGTGGTCGCGTGGATTTTCTTCGGGTCATTGAGAATCAACATCACTGGGTCTGTGTGTCTCTATGGGTATCCGTGTACCACTCCCAACACACATATAGTGCGCTAACCACTGCACCACCACTCCCCACACACAGACACTGCGCTAACCACTGCACCACCACTCCCCACACACACAGTGCACTAACCACTGCACCACCACTCCCCACACACAGACACTGCGCTAACCACTGCACCACCACTCCCCACAGTGCGCTAACCACTGCACCACCACTCCCCACACACACAGTGCGCTAACCACTGCACCACCACTCCCCACACAGTGCGCTAACCACTGCACCACCACTCCCCACACACACTGCGCTAACCACTGCACCACCACTCCCCACACACATACACAGTGCGCTAACCACTGCACCACCACTCCCCACACACTCACACACACAGTGCGCTAACCACTGCACCACCACTCCCCACACACACAGTGCGCTAACCACTCCACCACCACTCCGCACACACAGACACTGCGCTAACCACTGCACCACCACTCCCCACACACACTGCGCTAACCACTGCACCACCACTCCCCGCACACACAGTGCGCTAACCACTGCACCATCACTCCCCACACACACACAGTGCGCTAACCACTGCACCACCACTCCCTACACACACAGTGCGCTAACCACTGCACCACCACTCCCCACACACACACACAGTGCGCTAACCACTGCACCACCACTCCCCACACACTCACACACACACAGTGCGCTAACCACTGCACCACCACTCCCCACTCACCCAGATGGCTTCCCGTGCCGCGCTTCTGCCGCTCGTGAAGACGGAGGAGGAGGAGGCCCCAGAGCAGTGGCCCGGCTTGGCCATGGAGTGCGAAGAGGACGATGATGATGATGGTGACGATGAAGGTGATTGTGACGATGGTGAAGGTGATTGTGATGATGATTGTGATGGCGATGAAGGTGATTGTGGTCGACGATGATGATCGTGATGACGATGATGATCGTGATGACGATGATTGTGACGATGATTGTGACGATGATTGTGATGACGATGATTGTGACAACGACGATTGTGATGACGATGGTGATGACGATAATTGTGACGACAATGATTGTGACGATGATGACGATGATTGTGACGACGACAATGATCGTGACGACGATGATTGTGATGATGACGATTGTGATGACGATGATTGTGATGACGATGATTGATTCTGATGACGATGATTGTGATAACGATGATTGATTCTGATGACGATGATTATGATGACGATGATTGATTGTAATGACGGTGACGATTGTGATGACGATGATTGTGATAACGATGATGATTATGATAACGATGCTTGTGATGACGGCAATGATTGTGACGACGATGATTTTGATGACGATTGCGACGACGAAGGTGATTGCGACGACGACGATGATTGTGACGACGATGATTGTGACGACGATGATTGTGACGACGATGATGGTGACGACGATGATGGTGACGACGATGATTGTGATGGTAAATTATTTAGAAGCGGAGGCTCGCACTCAGATCCTGGGTGCCGGTCCACGTCTTAGCCTCAGCCACAGCGATTAGCTCGGGGTCTCAACGACTCACACAGAGATCCACACACACAGAGACCCACACACTCACAACACAGAGACCCACAGACTCACACAGAGACCCACAGACTCACAGAGAGACCTACGGACTCACACAAAGACCCCACAGACTCACACAGAGACCCACACACTCACACAGAGACCCACACACTCACACAGAGACCCACAGACTCACACAGAGACCCACACACTCACACAGAGACCTACACACTCACACAGAGACCCACAGACTCACAGAGACCCACAGACTCACATAGACACCCACACACTCACACAGACACCCACACACTCACACAGACAACCACACACTCACACAGACACCCACACACTCAACACAGATACCCACAGACTCACACAGAGACCCACAGACTCACACAGAGGCCCACAGACTCACAGAGATACCCACGGACTCACACAGAGACCCACAGACTCACACAGAGACCCACAGACTCACAACACAGAGACCCACAGACTCACACAGAGACCCACAGACCCACAGACTCACACAGAGACCCACAGACTCACACAGAGACCCACACACTCACACAGAGACCCACAGACTCACACAGAGACCCACAGACTCACACAGAGACACACAGACTCACAGAGACCCACAGACTCACACAGAGACCCACACACTCACACAGAGACCCACAGACTCACACAGAGACCCATACACTCACACAGAGACCCACACACTCACACAAAGACCCACAGACTCACAACACAGAGACCCACAGACTCACACAGAGACCCACAGACTCACACAGAGACCCACACACTCACACAGAGACCCACAGACTCACACAGAGACCCACACACTCACACAGAGACCCACAGACTCACACAGAGACCCACAGACTCACACAGAGACCCACAGACTCACACAGAGACCCACACACTCACACAGAGACCCATACACTCACACAGAGACCCACACACTCACACAGAGACCCACAGACTCACACAGAGACCCACAGACTCACACAGAGACCCACAGACTCACACAGAGACCCACACATTCACACAGAGACCCACAGACTCACACAGAGACCCATACACTCACACAGAGACCCACACACTCACACAGAGACCCACAGACTCACACAGAGACCCATACACTCACACAGAGACCCACACACTCACACAGAGACCCACAGACTCACACAGAGACCCACAGACTCACACAGAGACCCACAGACTCACACAGAGACCCACAGACTCACACAGAGACCCACAGACTCACACAGAGACCCACACACTCACACAGATACCCACACACTCACACAGAGACCCACACACTCACAGAGAGTCCCACACAGACACCCACACACTCACACAGAGACCCACACACTCACACAGAGACCCACAGACTCACACAGAGACCCACACACTCACACAGACATCCACAGACTCACACAAACACCCACAGACTCACACAGACACCCACACACTCACACAGATACCCACACACTCACACAGACACCCACACACTCACACAGACACCCACACACTCACACAGACAACCACACACTCACACAGACACCCACACACTCACAACACAGAGACCCACAGACTCACACAGAGACCCACAGACTCACACAGAGACCCACAGACCCACACAGAGACTCACAGAGAGACCCATGGACTCACACAGAGACCCACAGACTCACACAGAGACCCAAAGACTCACAACACAGAGACCCACAGACTCACACAGAGACACGCAGACTCACACAGAGACCCACAGACTCACACAGAGACCCACAGACTCACACAGAGACCCACAGACTCATACAGAGACCCACACACTCACACAGCGACCCACATACTCACATAGAGACCCACAGACTCACACAGAGACCCACAGACTCACAGAAACCCACAGACTCACACAGAGACCCACAGACTCACACAGAGACCCATACACTCACACAGAGACCCACACACTCACACAAAGACCCACAGACTCACAACACAGAGACCCACAGACTCACACAGAGACCCACAGACTCACACAGAGACCCACACACTCACACAGAGACCCACAGACTCACACAGAGACCCACACACTCACACAGAGACCCACAGACTCACACAGAGACCCACAGACTCACACAGAGCCCCACAGACTCACACAGAGACCCACACACTCACACAGAGACCCATACACTCACACAGAGACCCACACACTCACACAGAGACCCACAGACTCACACAGAGACCCACAGACTCACACAGAGACCCACAGACTCACACAGAGACCCACACATTCACACAGAGACCCACAGACTCACACAGAGACCCATACACTCACACAGAGACCCACACACTCACACAGAGACCCACAGACTCACACAGAGACCCATACACTCACACAGAGACCCACACACTCACACAGAGACCCACAGACTCACACAGAGACCCACAGACTCACACAGAGACCCACAGACTCACACAGAGACCCACAGACTCACACAGAGACCCACAGACTCACACAGAGACCCACACACTCACACAGATACCCACACACTCACACAGAGACCCACACACTCACAGAGAGACCCACACAGACACCCACACACTCACACAGAGACCCACACACTCACACAGAGACCCACAGACTCACACAGAGACCCACACACTCACACAGACATCCACAGACTCACACAAACACCCACAGACTCAGACAGACACCCACACACTCACACAGATACCCACACACTCACACAGACACCCACACACTCACACAGACACCCACACACTCACACAGACAACCACACACTCACACAGACACCCACACACTCACAACACAGAGACCCACAGACTCACACAGAGACCCACAGACTCACACAGAGACCCACAGACCCACACAGAGACTCACAGAGAGACCCATGGACTCACACAGAGACCCACAGACTCACACAGAGACCCAAAGACTCACAACACAGAGACCCACAGACTCACACAGAGACACGCAGACTCACACAGAGACCCACAGACTCACACAGAGACCCACAGACTCACACAGAGACCCACAGACTCATACAGAGACCCACACACTCACACAGCGACCCACATACTCACATAGAGACCCACAGACTCACACAGAGACCCACAGACTCACAGAAACCCACAGACTCACACAGAGACCCACATACTCACACAGAGACCCACAGACTCACACAGAGACCCACAGACTCACACAGAGACCCACAGACTCACACAGAGACCCACACACTCACACAGAGATGCACAGACTCACACAGAGACCCACAGACTCACAGAGACCCACAGACTCACATAGACACCCACACATTCACACAGATACCCACACACTCACACAGACACCCACACACTCACACAGACAACCACACACTCACACAGACACCCACACACTCACAACACAGATACCCACAGACTCACACAGAGACCCACAGACTCACACAGAGACCCACAGACTCACACAGAGACCCACAGACTCACAGAGAGACCCACGGACTCACACAGAGACCCACAGACTCACAGAGAGACCCACGGACTCACACAGAGACCCACAGACTCACACAGAGACCCACAGACTCACAACACAGAGACCCACAGACTCACACAGAGACCCACAGACCCACAGACTCACACAGAGACCCACAGACTCACACAGAGACACGCAGACTCACACAGAGACCCACAGACTCACACAGAGGCCCACAGACTCACACAGAGACCCACACACTCACACAGAGACCCACACACTCACACAGAGACCCACACACTCACACAGAGACTCACACACTCACACATAGACTCACACAGACACCCACACACTCACACAGACACCCACACACTCACACAGACACCCACACACTCACACAGACACTCACACACTCACACAGAGACCCACCCACTCACACAGAGACCCACACAGACACCCACACACTCACACAGACACCCACACACTCACACAGAGACCCACAGACTCACAGAGACCCACAGACTCAAGCGTGTGTGTGTGTGCAGCAGGAGCGGCGGTGAAGCAGGAGGAGGGTGAGGGCCGTCTGGGCTCCGAGATCGTGAGGACGCTGGTGAAGAGCGAGGTAGAGGACGGTGATGATGGTGAGTGAGAGAGGATGGTGGTGATGGTGAGTGAGAGAGGGTGATGGTGATGATGGTGAGTGAGAGAGGATGGTGGTGATGAGGGAGAGAGGATGGTGATGATGGTGAGTGAGATAGGGTGATGTTGATGGTGGTGATGGTGAGTGAGAGAGGATGATGGTGATGGTGGTGGTGATGGTGAGTGAGAGAGGATGGTGGTGATGGTGTTGATGATGGTGAGTGAGTCATGGTGATGATGGTGATGGTGGTGAGTGAGAAAGGATGGTGGTGATGGTGGTGATGATGGTGAGTGAGTCATGGTGATGGTGGTGGTGATGGTGAGTGAGAGAGGGTGATGGTGGTGATGATGGCGAGTGAGTCATGGTGATGGTGGTGATGATGGTGAGTGAGAGAGGATGGTGGTGATGGTGAGTGCGTCATGGTGATGGTGGTGGTGATGGTGAGAGAGGATGGTGGTGATGGTGGTGATGATGGTGAGTGAGTCATGGTGATGATGGTGATGGTGGTGAGTGAGAGAGGATGGTGGTGATGGTGGTGTTGATGGTGAGTGAGTCATGGTGATGGTGGTGGTGATGGTGAGTGAGAGAGGGTGATGGTGGTGATGATGGTGATGATGGTGAGTGAGTCATGGTGATGGTGGTGATGGTGAGTGAGAGAGGGTGATGGTGGTGATGATGGTGAGTGAGTCATGGTGATGGTGGTGGTGATGGTGAGTGAGCGAGGGTGGTGATGATGGTGATGGCTGTGAGAGAGGATGGTAGTGATGGTGGTGATGATGGTGAGTGAGTCATGGTGATGGTGGTGGTGATGGTGAGTGAGAGAGGGTGATGGTGGTGATGGTGGTGGTGATGGTGGTGAGAGCGGTCTGAGCCGGGCGGTGGCTTCCAGAGGCAGAGACGTGGAGCCTCCCAGACCTGGGATCCGGTCCGGGTCTCGAGCGCCGCGCTGGCTAGGAGATGTTGACTACCTCGCCTGGTGTACAGGAGGTCGTGGGTTCCACCACCACCACCATCATCACGGTGGCTAGGAGATGTTGACTACCTCGCCTGGTGTACAGGAGGTCGTGGGTTCCACCACCACCACCACCACCATCATCACGGTGGCTAGATGTTGACTACCTCGCCTGGTGTACAGGAGGTCGTGGGTTCCACCACCACCATCATCATCATCACGGTGGCTAGGAGATGTTGACTACCTCGCCTGGTGTACAGGAGGTCGTGGGTTCCACCACCACCATCATCATCACGGTGGCTAGGAGATGTTGACTACCTCGCCTGGTGTGCAGGAGGTCGTGGGTTCCACCACCATCATCACGGTGGCTAGATGTTGGCTACCTTGCCTGGTCTACAGGAGGTCGTGGGTTCCACCACCACCATCATCATCACGGTGGCTAGGAGATGTTGACTACCCCGCCTGGTGTACAGGAGGTCGTGGGTTCCACCACCATCATCACGGTGGCTAGGAGATGTTGACTACCTCGCCTGGTGTACAGGAGGTCGTGGGTTCCACCACCATCATCATCACGGTGGCTAGGAGATGTTGACTACCTCGCCTGGTGTACAGGAGGTCGTGGGTTCCACCACCACCATCATCACGGTGGCTAGGAGATGTTGACTACCTCGCCTGGTGTACAGGAGGTCGTGGGTTCCACCACCATCATCACGGTGGCTAGGAGATGTTGACTACCTCGCCTGTTGTACAGGAGGTCGTGGGTTCCACCACCACCACCATCATCACGGTGGCTAGGAGATGTTGACTACCTCGCCTGGTGTACAGGAGGTCGTGGGTTCCACCACCACCATCATCATCACGGTGGCTAGGAGATGTTGACTACCTCGCCTGGTGTGCAGGAGGTCGTGGGTTCCACCACCATCATCATCACGTTGGCTAGATGTTGACTACCTTGCCTGGTCTACAGGAGGTCGTGGGTTCCACCACCACCATCATCATCACGGTGGCTAGGAGATGTTGACTACCTCACCTGGTGTGCAGGAGGTCGTGGGTTCCACCACCATCATCACGGTGGCTAGGAGATGTTGACTACCTCGCCTGGTGTACAGGAGGTCGTGGGTTCCACCACCACCATCATCACGGTGGCTAGATGTTGACTACCTCGCCTGGTGTGCAGGAGGTCGTGGGTTCCACCACTATCATCACGGTGGCAAGGAGATGTTGACTGCCTCGCCTGGTGTACAGGTGGTCGTGGGTTCCACCACCACCATCATCACGGTGGCTAGGAGATGTTGACTACCTCGCCTGGTGTACAGGAGGTCGTGGGTTCCACCACCACCACCATCATCACGGTGGCTAGGAAATGTTGACTACCTCGCCTGGTGTACAGGAGGTCGTGGGTTCCACCACCACCATCATCATCATGGTGGCTAGGAGATGTTGACTACCTCGCCTGGTGTGCAGGAGGTCGTGGGTTCCACCACCATCATCATCATCATCACGGTGGCTAGGAGATGTTGACTACCTCGCCTGGTGTACAGGAGGTCGTGGGTTCCACCACCATCATCATCATCACGGTGGCTAGGAGATGTTGACTACCTCGCCTTGTGTACAGGAGGTCGTGAGTTCCACCACCACCATCATCACGGTGGCTCGGAAATGATGACCTCGCCTGGTACGCAGGAGTTCGTGGGTTCCACCACCACCATCATCACGGTGGCTAGATGTTGACTACCTTGCCTGGTCTACAGGAGGTCGTGGGTTCCACCACCACCATCATCATCATGGTGGCTAGGAGATGTTGACTACCTCACCTGGTGTGCAGGAGGTCGTGGGTTCCACCACCATCATCACGGTGGCTAGGAGATGTTGACTACCTCGCCTGGTGTACAGGAGGTCGTGGGTTCCACCACCACCATCATCACGGTGGCTAGATGTTGACTACCTCGCCTGGTGTGCAGGAGGTCGTGGGTTCCACCACCATCATCATCACGGTGGCTAGGAGATGTTGACTGCCTCGCCTGGTGTACAGGTGGTCGTGGGTTCCACCACCATCATCATCACGGTGGCTAGGAGATGTTGACTACCTCGCCTGGTGTACAGGAGGTCGTGGGTTCCACCACCACCACCATCATCATGGTGGCTAGGAGATGTTGACTACCTCGCCTGGTGTACAGGAGGTCGTGGGTTCCACCACCACCATCATCATCATGGTGGCTAGGAGATGTTGACTACCTTGCCTGGTGTGCAGGAGGTCGTGGGTTCCACCACCATCATCATCATCATCACGGTGGCTAGGAGATGTTGACTACCTCGCCTGGTGTACAGGAGGTCGTGGGTTCCACCACCACCATCATCATCACGGTGGCTAGGAGATGTTGACTACCTCGCCTGGTGTACAGGAGGTCGTGGGTTCCACCACCACCATCATCACGGTGGCTAGATGTTGACTACCTCGCCTGGTGTGCAGGAGGTCGTGGGTTCCACCACCATCATCATCACGGTGGCTAGGAGATGTTGACTGCCTCGCCTGGTGTACAGGTGGTCGTGGGTTCCACCACCACCATCATCACGGTGGCTAGGAGATGTTGACTACCTCGCCTGGTGTACAGGAGGTCGTGGGTTCCACCACCACCACCATCATCATGGTGGCTAGGAGATGTTGACTACCTCGCCTGGTGTACAGGAGGTCGTGGGTTCCACCACCACCATCATCATCATGGTGGCTAGGAGATGTTGACTACCTCGCCTGGTGTGCAGGAGGTCGTGGGTTCCACCACCATCATCATCATCACGGTGGCTAGGAGATGTTGACTACCTCGCCTGGTGTACAGGAGGTCGTGGGTTCCACCACCACCATCATCATCACGGTGGCTAGGAGATGTTGACTACCTCGCCTGGTGTGCAGGAGGTCGTGGGTTCCACCACCATCATCATCATCATCACGGTGGCTAGGAGATGTTGACTACCTCGCCTGGTGTACAGAGGTCGTGGGTTCCACCACCACCATCATCATCACGGTGGCTAGGAGATGTTGACTACCTCGCCTGGTGTGCAGGAGGTCGTGGGTTCCACCACCATCATCATCACGGTGGCTAGGAGATGTTGACTACCTCGCCTGGTGTACAGGAGGTCGTGGGTTCCACCACCACCATCATCACGGTGGCTAGGAGATGTTGACTACCTCGCCTGGTGTACAGGAGGTCGTGGGTTCCACCACCATCATCACGGTGGCTAGGAGATGTTGACTACCTCGCCTGTTGTACAGGAGGTCGTGGGTTCCACCACCACCACCATCATCACGGTGGCTAGGAGATGTTGACTACCTCGCCTGGTGTACAGGAGGTCGTGGGTTCCACCACCACCATCATCATCACGGTGGCTAGGAGATGTTGACTACCTCGCCTGGTGTGCAGGAGGTCGTGGGTTCCACCACCATCATCATCACGGTGGCTAGATGTTGACTACCTTGCCTGGTCTACAGGAGGTCGTGGGTTCCACCACCACCATCATCATCACGGTGGCTAGGAGATGTTGACTACCTCACCTGGTGTGCAGGAGGTCGTGGGTTCCACCACCATCATCACGGTGGCTAGGAGATGTTGACTACCTCGCCTGGTGTACAGGAGGTCGTGGGTTCCACCACCACCATCATCACGGTGGCTAGATGTTGACTACCTCGCCTGGTGTGCAGGAGGTCGTGGGTTCCACCACTATCATCACGGTGGCAAGGAGATGTTGACTGCCTCGCCTGGTGTACAGGTGGTCGTGGGTTCCACCACCACCATCATCACGGTGGCTAGGAGATGTTGACTACCTCGCCTGGTGTACAGGAGGTCGTGGGTTCCACCACCACCACCATCATCATGGTGGCTAGGAGATGTTGACTACCTCGCCTGGTGTACAGGAGGTCGTGGGTTCCACCACCACCATCATCATCATGGTGGCTAGGAGATGTTGACTACCTCGCCTGGTGTGCAGGAGGTCGTGGGTTCCACCACCATCATCATCATCATCACGGTGGCTAGGAGATGTTGACTACCTCGCCTGGTGTACAGGAGGTCGTGGGTTCCACCACCACCATCATCATCACGGTGGCTAGGAGATGTTGACTACCTCGCCTGGTGTACAGGAGGTCGTGGGTTCCACCACCACCATCATCACGGTGGCTAGATGTTGACTACCTCGCCTGGTGTGCAGGAGGTCGTGGGTTCCACCACCATCATCATCACGGTGGCTAGATGTTGACTACCTTGCCTGGTCTACAGGAGGTCGTGGGTTCCACCACCACCATCATCATCATGGTGGCTAGGAGATGTTGACTACCTCACCTGGTGTGCAGGAGGTCGTGGGTTCCACCACCATCATCACGGTGGCTAGGAGATGTTGACTACCTCGCCTGGTGTACAGGAGGTCGTGGGTTCCACCACCACCATCATCACGGTGGCTAGATGTTGACTACCTCGCCTGGTGTGCAGGAGGTCGTGGGTTCCACCACCATCATCATCACGGTGGCTAGGAGATGTTGACTGCCTCGCCTGGTGTACAGGTGGTCGTGGGTTCCACCACCATCATCATCACGGTGGCTAGGAGATGTTGACTACCTCGCCTGGTGTGCAGGAGGTCGTGGGTTCCACCACCATCATCATCATCATCATCACGGTGGCTAGGAGATGTTGACTACCTCGCCTGGTGTACAGGAGGTCGTGGGTTCCACCACCACCATCATCATCACGGTGGCTAGGAGATGTTGACTACCTCGCCTGGTGTACAGGAGGTCGTGGGTTCCACCACCACCATCATCACGGTGGCTAGATGTTGACTACCTCGCCTGGTGTGCAGGAGGTCGTGGGTTCCACCACCATCATCATCACGGTGGCTAGGAGATGTTGACTGCCTCGCCTGGTGTACAGGTGGTCGTGGGTTCCACCACCACCATCATCACGGTGGCTAGGAGATGTTGACTACCTCGCCTGGTGTACAGGAGGTCGTGGGTTCCACCACCACCACCATCATCATGGTGGCTAGGAGATGTTGACTACCTCGCCTGGTGTACAGGAGGTCGTGGGTTCCACCACCACCATCATCATCATGGTGGCTAGGAGATGTTGACTACCTCGCCTGGTGTGCAGGAGGTCGTGGGTTCCACCACCATCATCATCATCACGGTGGCTAGGAGATGTTGACTACCTCGCCTGGTGTACAGGAGGTCGTGGGTTCCACCACCACCATCATCATCACGGTGGCTAGGAGATGTTGACTACCTCGCCTGGTGTGCAGGAGGTCGTGGGTTCCACCACCATCATCATCATCATCACGGTGGCTAGGAGATGTTGACTACCTCGCCTGGTGTACAGAGGTCGTGGGTTCCACCACCACCATCATCATCACGGTGGCTAGGAGATGTTGACTACCTCGCCTGGTGTGCAGGAGGTCGTGGGTTCCACCACCATCATCACGGTGGCTAGGAGATGTTGACTACCTCGCCTGGTGTACAGGAAGTCGTGGGTTCCACCACCACCATCATCATCATCACGGTGGCTAGGAGATGTTGACTACCTCGCCTGGTGTACAGGAGGTCGTGGGTTCCACCATCATCATCACGGGGCTGCCGGGTGAAAAAAGTTGGCATGTTAAAGAGAGGTTGGCGCGTGAACGGGAGCAGTCGGTGTGGCTTCACAGAAAGACCCAAGATGATGAATTCCTGCAGACACGAAAAGCTTAAGGTCAAAACGAACAAAATTTGAATTTCGATTGAAACCTTTCGTGAATGCAGGAACTCATATTCTTGGTTCTTTCCGTAAAGTCACGTAGAAGGGAAAACATTAAAAATCAAACAATAAAATTATCACGACGTTTCGATTGCAACACCAGCAATCATCATCAGGTGTGAAAACCACAGCAATATATTTTTTTTAAAGTGGCGTTTTTTTCTTAACGTTTTTTCAAATTTTCTTGCTGTGGTTTTCGCACCTGATGATGATTGCTTGTGTTGCAATCCAAACGTCGTGATTTATTGGTTTATTTTTATTATTTTATTATTTCCCTTCTACGTGGCTTTACCAAAAGAACCAAGAATATGAACAAAATTTGGTTGAGTTTCATGGCGAACTTCTTTCGAAGCCGCCGCCGCCACCGTACGTAGCCCACAGCGTGGCAATTAGAGGTGCGGGTGGGTGGTTGGGAGGAAGGACGACAAACTAACAACGACAACACCAACGACAACAACGATAATGACGTCAGAATTTTTCCGCCGCGTTTTCACCATCGTCGTGAACACGTCGTACGCGTTATGGTTGGCTATGTACAGTGGGAAAGACGTTCACCATACATACAGACTCACAGAAACCCACAGACTTACACAGAGACCCACAGATTCACACACAGACCCCTAGACACACACACAGACCCACAGACTCACACAGACTCACAGACTCGCACAGAGACCCACAGACTCGCACAGAGACCCACAGACTCGCATATACACCCACAGACTCATACAGAGACCCACAGACTCACACAGAGACCCACAGACTCACACAGATACCCACAGACACACACAGAGACCCCTAGACACACACAGAGACCCATAGACACAGAGACCTATAGACACACATAGAGACCCACAAACTCACACAGAGACCCCTAGACACACAGAGACCCATAGACTCACACAGACACCCACACACTCACACAGACACCCACACACTCACACAGAGACCCACAAACTCACACAGACACCCACACACTCGCACAGAGACCCACAGACTCACACAGAGACCCACAGACACACACAGAGACCCCTATACACACAGAGACCCCTATACACACACAGAGACCCCTAGACACACACACAGAGACCCCTATACACACACAGAGACCCCTAGACACACACAGATACCCCGAAACACAGAGACCCCTAGACACACACAGAGACCCCTATACACACACAGAGACCCCTATACACATACAGAGACCCCTAGACACACACAGATACCCCGAAACACACACAGAGACCCCTATACACACATAGAGACCCCTAGACACACACAGAGACCCCTATACACATACAGAGACCCCTAGACACACACACAGAGACCCCTAGCCACACACAGATACCCCGAAACACACACAATGCGTCCCGGGAGCGCATCGGTCTAGGGGATCCCCTGGAGGAATGATGCCTTGTCCGTGACGTTGCGTCTGCGTTTCTTCTGCGTTATTGCATCCGAGTTGCGTCTTCGTTGGGTCTGAGTTGCGTTGCGTCTGAGTTGCGTCTGAGTTGCATCTGAGTTGTGTCTGCGTTGCGTCTGAGTTGCGTCTGAGTTGCATCTGAGTTGCGTCTGAGTTGCATCTGAGTTGTGTCTGCGTTGCGTCTGAGTTGCTCTGTCTGAGTTGCCGCGTCTGCGTGCCGCTGTCATTGTCAAGGAGACGTCAGCGTGGGTCCTGTCCGGGAGACGTCGCGGCCGCTGAGGGTGAAGGCCGAGCGGCAGGAGGGAGGCTCCGGTGAGGTCCCATAGACTCACACAGAGACCCATAGACTCACACAGAGACCCATAGACTCACACAGACCCATACACTCACACAGAGACTCATAGACTCACACAGAGACCCATAGACTCACACAGAGACCCATAGACTCACTACAGAGACCCATAGACTCACACAGACCCATAAACTCACACAGAGACCCACAGACTCACACAGAGACCCATAGACTCACCACACAGAGACCCATAGACTCACACAGACCCATAAACTCACATAGAGACACAGAGACCCATAGACTCGCACAGAGACCCATACCCACACAGAGACCCACAGACTCACACAGAGACCCAGACTCAAACAGAGACCCACAGAATCACACAGAGACCCATAGACTCACCACACAGAGACCCATAGACTCACCACACAGAGACCCATAGACTCACACAGACCCATAAACTCACACAGAGACCCATAGACTCACACAGAGACCCATAGACTCACACAGAGACCCACAGACTCACACAGACCCATAGACTCACACAGACCCATAAACTCACACAGAGACCCATAGACTCACACAGAGACCCACAGACTCACACACAGACCCATAAACTCACACAGAGACCCACAGACGCCCCCTCGGTTGCCTGCCGCTGTGTGGCAGCAGCGCCGCCGCCTGCTCGCTGTGAAATGGGAGGTGCAGTAACACGGGAGTTGTGTTCAGGCATTCAAACGCCAACACGGACTAAACATTTTTTTGCATGGAATCAAGTTTCTGCATTAACCACACACAAAGAAAACACGGCTCTGATCATGAATCTACGGCATTGTCTTTGAAGCTGATTGACCTACAGCAGAGACAGCGGCCTTCTCTAGGGCCCAGTCTCACCGGAAGTGTCAGTAGAACAGTATAATAATATTATACTGTTACTTATGTTACATATGTGTGCATTGTCTTTAGTAACAATGTAATTAGAATGTTCTACGGCATTGTCTTTGAAGCTTATTGGCCTACAGCAGAGACAGCGGCCTTCTCTAGGGCCCAACCTCACCGGCAGTGTCAGTAGAACAGTATAATAATATTATACTGTTACTTATGTTACTTATGTGTGCATTGTCTTTAATAATGTAATTAGAATGTTCTACTGCAGTCTTTGAGGCTGATTGACTTACAGCAGAGACAGCGGCCTTCCCTAGGGCCCAGCCTCACCGGCAGCGTCAGTAGAACAGTTTAATAATATTATTATAATATTACACTGTTACTTATGTATGCATTGTCTTTAATAACAATGTAATTACAATGTTCTACGGCATTGTCTTTGAAGCTGATTGACCTACAGCAGAGACAGCGGCCTTCTCTAGGGCCCAGCCTCACCGACAGCGTCAGTAGACCAGAGAGCGACGCCTAAAGGTGACCAGCGCAAGGGCAATGCCACGAGTATCAGGGCACTTCATAGCCCGGCAGTGAGCAGCAGCTTCATCACGTGACACCTTTTTCTTGCCAGTGTCAAAGTATGACAACAAAGAATAGGCGCATACTCTCTGCTTCTTTCGCTAAAGCAATCGTTGTGAGAACGTATTCAACCAGGTAGGGCGTTGACTGTTATGTTAGCCGACCCTCTGTGTTGTATTGCATTACATTTCTAAGTTTACTAGGTTTCATCTTCTTTGGTTCTTTCGGTAAAGTCACGTAGAATGAGAATAAAATAATAAAATAAAATAACACAATAAAATTCTCACGACGTTTCGGCCACAACACAAGTGGCCTTCTTCAGGTGAAAGGAACAAACCTGTCGGGACGATGGAGCTTCAATGAACGTTGTTAAGATTCGTAGCGTCTTTTAAGCTGGTTTAGAGAAGTGAGGCACCTTGACAAAGGGGTTTACATATCAAACAGGAGAATTTAGCATTGAAATAGCTGAGGGATTAGCTTGTGACTGGTCACAGAAATAGCTATGTTAAAGTCAAAGCCTACACATCCACAGAGGCACCTACATGTACTAGGTGCCTCTGTGGATGTGTAGGCTTTGACTTTAACATAGCTATTTCTGTGACCAGTCACAAGCTAATCCCTCAGCTATTTCAATGCTAAATTCTCCTGTTTGATATGTAAACCCCTTTGTCAAGGTGCCTCACTTCTCTAAACCAGCTTAAAAGACGCTACGAATCTTAACAACGTTCATTGAAGCTCTGTCATTCCGACAGGTTTGTTCCTTTCATCTGAAGACCACTTGTGTTGTGGCCGAAACGTCGTGAGAATTTTATTGTCTTATTTTATTATTTTATTCTCATTCTACGTGACTTTACCGAAAGAACCAAAGAGGTGAATCCTTGCAGTCACGAAAGCTTTAAATCGAAATTCACTAGGTTTGCTTTCTCTTTCATTTGTACCTGATGATGATTGCTCGTGTTGCAATCGAAACGTCGTATGCTGTTGTTTAATTTAATTTGTTATTTTTTTCTACCTACGTGGACTTTGCCGCAAGAAGCGGAGATCGTGGATTCCTGCAGTCACGAAAGCTTCAAATCAAGATTAAAAATAGGTGTTCAACTCTCTCTGGCAATACAATAGGAGTTGTGTTAAGATGTTCAAACACGAACACGGATAACATTTAGCAAGGAATGTACCCCAATCGTGTCAACAGAACAAGGGATTCGTGCTAACGGTGGGACGGGGGGTCTCGTTGACCCTGGAGGTGTGAAGATGCTCAAACGCCGGTGGCATTTCGCGCCTGTCATTGCGAACTCCCCCCCCCCCTTCCACCCCGCCACCCCCCCCAATCCTCGCCACCACCACCACGACCACCACGACTACCTCCACCACCACGACCACCTCCACCACCACGACCACCTCCACCACCACGACCACCTCCACCATAACCACCACCACTACGACCACCACCACGACCACCACCACGACCACCACCACGACCACCACCACCGCCGTGCGGCTTGTGGCAAAGGTGGCGAGTGGGAGCTCCTGTGCGAGGAGTGCGGCGCGGAGCCGCGCGGGAGCGTCCGCAACACGTGGGACGAAGAAGTGAAACCGGGTGGCGACGGCGGGCGGACCGCGCCAGCGTGCGCGCGGTGCGGCAAGGAGATGCCGCGGGGGGGCATCTCGTCGCACGACGACGACGGCGACGACGACGATCGACGGCGGCCGAAACGGCGGCGCCAGCGGCAGCTGCAGCAGCGACGCGCGGCGGGCGGCGAGAAGCCGCACGTGTGCACCGAGTGCGGCAAGGCCTTCGCCCGCTGCTCCGACCTGGACCGCCACTCGCGGACGCACACGGGCGAGCGGCCGCACGCCTGCGCCGACTGCGGCCGCCGCTTCTCGCACGCCTCCTCGCTGAAGCTGCACGCGGCGACGCACACGGGCGAGCGGCCGCACGCCTGCGCCGACTGCGGCCGCGGCTTCACGCGGCGCTCCTACCTCGAGACGCACGCCCGCGTCCACACGGGCGAGCGGCCGCACGTCTGCGCCGACTGCGGCCGCCGCTTCCTGCACAAGCACTCGCTCAAGACGCACGCGGCGAGCCACGCGGCCCGGCGGCCCCTCGCCTGCGGCGAGTGCGGCCGCGGCTTCGCGCGCCCCTTCGACCTGGAGGCGCACGCGCGCACCCACACGGGCGAGAGGCCGCACCCGTGCCCCGACTGCGGCAGGCGATTTGCCCGCCGGTGCCACCTCGAGGCGCACGCGCGCATGCACACGGGCGAGTGGCCCTGCCTTTGCAAGGAGTGCGGCAAGGGCTTCGCGTGCTTCTCGCACCTGGAGAGGCACGCGCGCACGCACACGGGCGAGAGGCCGCACGCGTGCGACGCGTGCGGGAAGCAGTTCCGCGAGCGCTCGCACCTCAAGAAGCACGCGGCGACGCACGGAGCAGCGTAGCGGGCGGCGCCGGCGGCGAGGGCGGCGCGGCGGGAGATGGAGCGGACTTCTCGCCGCGCTCCTCTTGTCGTCCGCGAGACGCACGCCGGCGATTCGGCCGACCGAACGGCGGTGGGGGTTTGTCCGATGCCAGCCGGCCCTCGTCTCTTCTCGTCGAAACCCGCGGCGTAAATTAGGCCGCTTCGGTGGTGGGGCTAAAGTGTGGGTAGCTTCACTGAGAGTCGATTTTGATGCATCTCTTCCAGACCGACCTACACGTGGGTGGGTGTCGAGGAGGAGAGCCGTGCCCCCTGGCTCTGCCAGGTAGATGGCGGCGGTCACAGCGGAGCGTGTGGCCCTCCCGCATGGCGAAGGGTCGATGTATCGAGAACCGCAGAGCTCGGGCGAGCGAGCGGCCCTCTGCCGCGACTCGCGAGGATTTGGCGTTCGCTTTTGGCGTCGGTCTCCCGTGCCCCCTCCCCCCCCCCGCGTGCTGTAGCGGCGTTTTGACCGTCCGCGCTGACGCGTGGAGTTTCCTTACGTGGCGTTTTTGCCGTGTCCTCCGGTAGCGATGAATGCCCCGGTGGCCCGGAGATGGCAAATACCTCGCCCATAGGTATACAGCAAGGGCGCGTTCTGCTCTGTGTGTGTTCGCAACAACCTGAGCTGTCGGTTTTACCACAAGGAAGCATGCGATTGTGCATTTTTAAATGACGGTGAATGACGGATGATTGTGAAATGAAGGTGGTCGTCGTGGTGTTATTCGAATCAGTGGGGTACCCTCGTCAATGCCGCAGGGCCATGTGTTAACCGTAGTGGCAATAATACTGTAACGGTCCCTTCATAACGGTCCCCACAACATCGCCATTCCCCCAGCGACGTGCCGATGTCAATCCCTGGCACCCGCTTGACCCGGAGTCACCCCGAGGGGTGACGATGTGAGATTGGTGGCTGGAGCCGAGGAGACACATTTGTACGTATGCGCGTTGAGCTTCTTTCACACGGTACCTAGGAAACTGTGCGGATCGGTGGTGTGGGGGAAAGGCGACAAACTAAAAACACATAAAGCAGTTCTAAAGAAAGGAGTTTGTCAATCTTGATGTTGATTTACGGCTGCAGCATAGCTACTGTGGCATCCTAATATCGGAAGGAAGAGCCTTCCAGATGGCCGCAGAAGCACGTCTTGACAGCGAGCCATGCGGTCCGAGGTTTAACGGTGTGTGACTGGTGGCTGGGAGTGAGGTGACGAGGATGAGGGGAAGGAATTGGTGAGGGGACTGTGGGGATAAGAGGTGACTTCAGAGGAGTGATGGGGGGGGCGGAGGATAGAACTGAGGAAGGAGGGAGCTGTGGATGAAGGAGGGAGCTGTGGATGAAGGAGGGAGCTGTGGATGAAGGAGGGAGCCGTGGATGAAGGAGAGAGCTGTGGATGAAGGAGAGAGCTGTGGATGGAGGGAGCTGTGGATGAAGGAGAGAGCTGTGGATGAAGGAGGGAGCAGTGGATGGAGGGAGCTGTGGATGAATGAGGGAGCTGTGGTTGAAGGAGGGAGCTGTGGATGAAGGAGGGAGCTGTGGATGGAGAGAGCTTTCGATGAAGGAGAGCTGTGGACGAAGGAGGGAGCTGTGGATGAAGGAGAGAGCTGTGGATGAAGGAGGGAGCTGTGGATGAAGGAGAGAGCTGTGGATGAAGGAGAGAGCTGTGGATGGAGGGAGCTGTGGATGAAGGAGGGAGCTGTGGATGGAGAGAGCTGTGGATGAAGGAGAGAGCTATGGATGAAGGAAGGAGCTGTGGATGAAGGAGGGAGCTGTGGATAAAGGAGAGAGCTGTGGACGAAGGAGGGAGCTGTGGATGAAGGAGAGAGCTGTGGATGAAGGAGAGAGCTGTGGATGAAGGAGAGAGCTGTGGATGAAGGAGGGAGCTGTGGATGAAGGAGGGAGCTGTGGATGAAGGAGAGAGCTGTGGATGAAGGAGAGCTGTGGATGAAGGAGGGAGCTGTGGATGAAGGAGAGAGCTGTGGATGAAGGAGGGAGCTGTGGATGAAGGAGGGAGCTGTGGATGAAGGAGGGAGCTGTGGATGAAGGAGAGAGCTGTGGATGAAGGAGAGAGCTGTGGATGAAGGAGGGAGCTGTGGATGAAGGAGAGAGCTGTGGATGAAGGAGAGAGCTGTGGATGAAGGAGGAGCTGTGGATGAAGGAGGGAGCTGTGGATGAAGGAGAGAGCTGTGGATGAAGGAGGGAGCTGTGGATGAAGGAGAGAGCTGTGGATGAAGGAGAGAGCTGTGGATGAAGGAGAGAGCCGTGGATGAAGGAGGGAGCTGTGGATGAAGGAGGGAGCTGTGGATGAAGGAGGGAGCTGTGGATGAAGGAGGGAGCTGTGGATGAAGGAGAGAGCTGTGGATGAAGGAGGGAGCTGTGGATGAAGGAGGGAGCTGTGGATGAAGGAGAGAGCTGTGGATGAAGGAGAGCTGTGGATGAAGGAGGGAGCTGTGGATGAAGGAGAGAGCTGTGGATGAAGGAGAGAGCCGTGGATGAAGGAGGGAGCTGTGGATGAAGGAGAGAGCTGTGGATGAAGGAGAGCTGTGGATGAAGGAGGGAGCTGTGGATGAAGGAGAGAGCTGTGGATGAAGGAGAGAGCCGTGGATGAAGCAGGGAGCTGTGGATGAAGGAGGGAGCTGTGGATGAAGGAGGGAGCTGTGGATGAAGGAGAGAGCTGTGGATGGAGAGAGCTGTGGGTGAAGGCGAGAGCTGTGGATGAAGGAGAGCTGTGGACGAAGGAGAGCTGTGGACGAAGGAGAGAGCTGTGGATGAAGGAGAGAGCTGTGGATGAAGCAGGGAGCTGTGGATGAAGGAGAGAGCTGTGGATGAAGCAGGGAGCTGTGGATGAAGCAGGGAGCTGTGGATGAAGGAGAGAGCTATGGATGAAGGAAGGAGCTGTGGATGAAGGAGGGAGCTGTGGATAAAGGAGAGAGCTGTGGACGAAGGAGGGAGCTGTGGATGAAGGAGAGAGCTGTGGATGGAGAGAGCTGTGGGTGAAGGCGAGAGCTGTGGATGAAGGAGGGAGCTGTGGATGAAGGAGAGAGCTGTGGATGAAGGAGGGAGCTGTGGATGAAGGAGGGAGCTGTGGATGAAGGAGGGAGCTGTGGATTGAAGGAGGGAGCTGTGGATAAAGGAGAGAGCTGTGGACGAAGGAGGGAGCTGTGGATGAAGGAGAGCTGTGGATGAAGGAGAGAGCTGTGGATGAAGGAGAGAGCCGTGGATGAAGGAGGGAGCTGTGGATGAAGGAGGGAGCTGTGGATGAAGGAGGGAGCTGTGGATGAAGGAGGGAGCTGTGGATGAAGGAGGGAGCTGTGGATGAAGGAGGGAGCTGTGGATGAAGGAGGAGCTGTGGATGAAGGAGAGAGCTGTGGATGAAGGAGGAGCTGTGGATGAAGGAGAGAGCTGTGGATGAAGGAGAGAGCTGTGGATGAAGGAGGGAGCTGTGGATGAAGGAGGGAGCTGTGGATGAAGGAGGGAGCTGTGGATGAAGGAGGGAGCTGTGGATGAAGGAGAGAGCTGTGGATGAAGGAGAGAGCTGTGGATGAAGGAGGGAGCTGTGGATGAAGGAGGGAGCTGTGGATGAAGGAGAGAGCTGTGGATGAAGGAGAGAGCTGTGGATGAAGGAGAGAGCTGTGGATGAAGGAGAGAGCTGTGGATGAAGGAGGAGCTGTGGATGAAGGAGGGAGCTGTGGATGAAGGAGAGAGCTGTGGATGAAGGAGAGAGCTGTGGATGAAGCAGGGAGCTGTGGATGAAGGAGGGAGCTGTGGATGAAGGAGGGAGCTGTGGATGAAGGAGAGAGCTGTGGATGGAGAGAGCTGTGGGTGAAGGCGAGAGCTGTGGATGAAGGAGAGCTGTGGACGAAGGAGAGCTGTGGACGAAGGAGAGAGCTGTGGATGAAGGAGAGAGCTGTGGATGAAGCAGGGAGCTGTGGATGAAGGAGAGAGCTGTGGATGAAGCAGGGAGCTGTGGATGAAGGAGGGAGCTGTGGATGAAGGAGAGAGCTATGGATGAAGGAAGGAGCTGTGGATGAAGGAGGGAGCTGTGGATAAAGGAGAGAGCTGTGGACGAAGGAGGGAGCTGTGGATGAAGGAGGGAGCTGTGGATGAAGGAGGGAGCTGTGGATGGAGAGAGCTGTGGATGAAGGAGAGAGCTGTGGATGAAGGAGGGAGCTGTGGATGAAGGAGAGAGCTGTGGATGAAGGAGGGAGCTGTGGATGAAGGAGAGAGCTGTGGATGAAGGAGAGAGCTGTGGATGAAGGAGGGAGCTGTGGATGAAGGAGGGAGCTGTGGATGGAGAGAGCTGTGGATGAAGGAGAGAGCTATGGATGAAGGAAGGAGCTGTGGATGAAGGAGGGAGCTGTGGATAAAGGAGAGAGCTGTGGACGAAGGAGGGAGCTGTGGATGAAGGAGAGAGCTGTGGATGAAGGAGAGAGCTGTGGATGAAGGAGAGAGCCGTGGATGAAGGAGGGAGCTGTGGATGAAGGAGGGAGCTGTGGATGGAGAGAGCTGTGGATGAAGGAGAGCTGTGGACGAAGGAGGGAGCTGTGGATGAAGGAGAGAGCTGTGGATGGAGGAGGGAGCTGTGGATGAAGGAGGGAGCTGTGGATGAAGGAGGGAGCTGTGGCTGAAGGAGAGACCTGTGGATAAAGGAGAGAGCTGTGGATGAAGGAGGGAGCTGTGGATAAAGGAGAGAGCTGTGGATGAAGGAGAGAGCTATGGATGAAGGAAGGAGCTGTGGATGAAGGAGGGAGCTGTGGATAAAGGAGAGAGCTGTGGACAAAGGAGGGAGCTGTGGATGAAGGAGAGAGCTGTGGATGAAGGAGAGAGCTGTGGATGAAGGAGAGCTTTGGATGAAGGAGGGAGCTGTGGATGAAGGAGGGAGCTGTGGATGAAGGAGGGAGCTGTGGATGAAGGAGGGAGCTGTGGATGAAGGAGAGAGCTGTGGATGAAGGAGGGAGCTGTGGATGAAGGAGGGAGCTGTGGATGAAGGAGAGAGCTGTGGATGAAGGAGAGCTGTGGATGAAGGAGGGAGCTGTGGATGAAGGAGAGAGCTGTGGATGAAGGAGAGAGCCGTGGATGAAGGAGGGAGCTGTGGATGAAGGAGAGAGCTGTGGATGAAGGAGAGCTGTGGATGAAGGAGGGAGCTGTGGATGAAGGAGAGAGCTGTGGATGAAGGAGAGAGCCGTGGATGAAGCAGGGAGCTGTGGATGAAGGAGGGAGCTGTGGATGAAGGAGGGAGCTGTGGATGAAGGAGAGAGCTGTGGATGGAGAGAGCTGTGGGTGAAGGCGAGAGCTGTGGATGAAGGAAAGCTGTGGACGAAGGAGAGCTGTGGACGAAGGAGAGAGCTGTGGATGAAGGAGAGCTGTGGATGAAGCAGGGAGCTGTGGATGAAGGAGAGAGCTGTGGATGAAGCAGGGAGCTGTGGATGAAGCAGGGAGCTGTGGATGAAGGAGAGAGCTATGGATGAAGGAAGGAGCTGTGGATGAAGGAGGGAGCTGTGGATAAAGGAGAGAGCTGTGGACGAAGGAAGGAGCTGTGGATGAAGGAGAGAGCTGTGGATGGAGAGAGCTGTGGGTGAAGGCGAGAGCTGTGGATGGAGAGCTGTGGACGAAGCAGGGAGCTGTGGATGAAGGAGAGAGCTGTGGATGAAGGAGGGAGCTGTGGATGAAGGAGGGAGCTGTGGATGAAGGAGGGAGCTGTGGTTGAAGGAGGGAGCTGTGGATAAAGGAGAGAGCTGTGGACGAAGGAGGGAGCTGTGGATGAAGGAGAGCTGTGGATGAAGGAGAGAGCTGTGGATGAAGGAGAGAGCCGTGGATGAAGGAGGGAGCTGTGGATGAAGGAGGGAGCTGTGGATGAAGGAGGGAGCTGTGGATGAAGGAGGGAGCTGTGGATGAAGGAGGGAGCTGTGGTTGAAGGAGGGAGCTGTGGATAAAGGAGAGAGCTGTGGACGAAGGAGGGAGCTGTGGATGAAGGAGAGCTGTGGATGAAGGAGAGAGCTGTGGATGAAGGAGAGAGCTGTGGATGAAGGAGGGAGCTGTGGATGAAGGA